TAAATTATTACAGTAAATCACTTTTAGGAGGGAGTCTTTATTAGCGGCATACACGGTGCGTCTGAATCGTGAGTCGGGTTGGATGTGTTAAGTAAAAATAAATATGTGTTAGTTACACCGACATGACTCTGGTATGACTCTGAATGAACACGTACACAGTTGACTCGCGTTGTTGCCTATTAGACATAAAACATAAATTCATAGTAAAATTACACAGAATTCCAATTACGGAAGGGAAATACACCGAAGCACAGCTATTCTGACATTATTACACTCATATGTACCTATGTACCTGTATGCGAAATAATGGCAGTAAGACATTTTGACCAGTTTTGCCTATTATTTTCATTGATTATTTTTTAATTGATTTTAAATAAAAGTCTAATTCATAATTTAATAATCACAATAAATGTACACAAATCGGCATTTCAAACTTTGTACAAAATTATAAAAACTCAGCAGGTTTTCGCAACAAAATACTTTGAATTCAGAATTTTTAGGGAGATTCCAAGTTTTCGATGTTATGCATTTTTTCCATATAAAGTGTGTTCGAAATTTTTTTAAATCGATCAAAATGTATGACACCGTCAGAAAAAAATATCAAAAATCATCGGGATATTGCAGAGACTGGCACTTTCATTTAATAAACTATAAAACTCCTAACTTAGAATCTTTCCAAAAATTCTGAATTAAAAGCTTGTTGTGGCGAAAACTTACTTTTCGTACTGCATATTCACAACAGAATTCAGAGGTCTGCAAATAATTCTCACAGCCCTTATTTTAATTTGTAAGTGCTTTTAATTTTCACTTTTTGTAATTTTCTTAATCTATAATGTGGTAAGTAATTTTTTGTTATATATTGCATTTTATGCTAAACTTCTATATTTTATGATTGTGCCAAAACAGGATGAATTGTACCAAAAGTGCCTCTGAGAATGTAAGGGCGAAAAATGGCACTATTGTGCCTACTTTTCCATCACTGGGTTGAAGTGTATACATATATATATATATATGTACATATGTACGAACGAACATTTCCTTACGCTGCAAGATTCGTTTCGTTACTCACATAATAGTCTCGTTCATTGTGGAAGAATACAAGTGAGATATTTTAGGGTTGACAGATAGTTGACAGGGTGTTCAATATGGCGATGACAGTGTGAACAATATGGCAGCCAATATGGCATACAACACCGAATGGCCCGAAGTAGCAAAACTACGACCCGAATGAAACGGTTCGTGAAAATCCAGGGTTGCGAAGTGGTATTTTGTTGGAAAATATAAAAGCCAGGATTTTGTGCAGCGCCGAATTTTAACAAAAGAGGGTTTTGTGTTCTCAAAATGAACAGAAAATGGTTGCTGTGCTGTTTCGTTTTAAGCTTATTTTAATCTTAAGGTATCTCATTAAATATTAAAAGGGAAAATTAAAGCAAAAATTTAAAATATATGTACATATCTGAAAATTTTAAATAAAATATATATTTTCACGAGAGACAAATTAAATAAAATGGGGTAACTTTAGGGGAAACATACTTATCAGATTGGGTCAGATAGCGCTTTTACGTTATAAATAAAAATAATTCCATGTTTTATTGTCCGATCAGTTCGTAATTTATTAAATATTATGTTACCAGGCTAGTCTGATCTATGTTTTTAGTGCGAATAAATACGTGTGTGTGATGAAGATATGTTAGTGTCGTTTGATGTCGTGTCCTTGTTCACTAATATACCAACAATGTTAGCCTCAAAAATAGTCATGAACAAATGGGACCAAGTTAAACAAAAAACCAATATTCCGAAAAAGAAATTCCAAGAAATTTTAGAATTTTGCCTAAAAGACAACAACTATTTCATGTTCAACAAAAAACTATATTCACAAACGTTTGGAATGCCTATGGGCAATCCTATTTCCCCAACAATAGCGGACATAATTATGGACAACCTACTAGACAATACCATCTCGGAACTCAAGCAAAAATACAATATCGACATTAAATTTATAGCCAAATATGTGGATGACATCTTTGCTATAATTAAACGCAATGACGCGAATATCATTCTAGGAATTCTTAACAAGTATCACAATAAACTTCAATTTACGATGGAAATAGAGGAAAATTCAAAAATCCCTTTCCTTGACGTTTGTATACATAGAGAAAACCACAATCTTTTACTTGACTGGTATTCCAAACCAACTTCTTCTGGACGCCTGATTAATTATTACTCATCGCAACCAACAAAATATAAGATAAATACAGCAAAAAACCTCATCCATAAAATATTGACAATAAGCCACACACGATTCCACGAAGCTAACAAAGAGAAAATCAACAAAATCCTAATAAACAACAATTACCCTGTAAACTTAATACGGGAATTAATAAATCAAGAAGTTATGAAAACAAGCATCCATCCCAATAAAACACCGAACACAGACACAACAAAAACTACTAAGAAATTTTACAGTGTAACATACATTCCCAACTTAACTGGCAATTTTGGTCACAGCATAACGAAATCACAAAACACAGCACTTGCCTACAAATCTAATTACACTCTGTCGTCAATATACACAAAAACTAAGTGCTCAGTAGATATCCAACAACAAAACAATGTAGTGTATGAAATTAAATGTAAGGGAAATGAAATTGAGGAATGCGAAAAAGTGTATATTGGGACAACTAAGCGGCCTTTAGGTGTTAGACTAGGCGAACATGAAGCAGATATAAGAAAACAAAAAAGCAGTACAGCATTATCACAACACATCATAACAAGTGGACATACAGCTGATTTCGCAAACACAAAGATTATCGACAAAGAAAGAAGGGAGTCAACCCGATATACACTAGAAAGCCTTAGGATAATGCAAAGAAGGAAAAAGACAATGAACAGAAAAGAAGATACGGACAACATTGCGGCCGCTTACATTTCTTGTTTATGATTAGAAATAAAAATGTTTATTATTTTAGTATTGACAAAGCTACCACAAAAGATGGTACAGATGCGCTGTATTTAGGTGTTAATCAAAGTTCGTAAACATTGTGAGTTTTTTGTCCTCAAATTGTTGTTTATAATTTTTAATTCCATATATGTATATGTATGTTTGTATGCTATATTCATTAATTTTTAATTACAATGAGCCTTTGTATTTTTGGTTTGTGGCAGATTTAATAAAGCTGGATTGCCCCTGAAGATGCTAAAAATGTTTTAGCGAAACGTTGGGCCAGAAAGTGGAATAATGTAGTTTTATTCGCACTAAAAACATAGATCAGACTAGCCTGGTAACATAATATTTAAAAAATAATTCCTACTTAAATTTTATATAATTTTGGTGACGTATTTCTAAGCTGACCCTGAGATCTGTGAAGTAATACATATTTATGTGCATATATTGTGTTGATTATGCTCTAAATCGCTAAATAATTCTAATTCTGGCAGCAACCAGCACCATTGGAAAGTGAAGTGACAATAGGCTGGTTTTCTTTATACAGCCCGTTTTAAATTCGAATTATTGTTATAATAAATTACAATTATTGTTTGTTTCCGCTTCGGTCAACCGCGCAAATTATTTATTAAAAAAATTTCGTTTAAAACTAGCAGATTTTGTTTACTTTTGAATAAGACTTTATCGAGTGCGCTATAAAGACAGGGGGATCAATGCTGTAAAGAAATATATGTTGAGTCCAATCGGTTTTTTGCTAATCCGGTTTTTGTGTAGGTATAAACAAGGTATATTAAAAAAATACCTCTCCATGAAAAAATAGCGTTATTTTCGTATTTAAAATTAATCGGAATTTTATGGGGGGTTATAAAAACTCGTTTTAATCGAAACTTTGTTTTTTCGGCTATATTTGTTATTATTTATTGGCCCAGATGCAAATATTGAATGAACTAACATATTTTAAATATTTACGGAACTACCATTTGTATGCAACCCTGCCTATCCTGTATTCAAGTAGATGTAATTCGAAAAATTTAAACGGATTTCTTCAAATCAACCTGAGCTGCGAATTCATTTTAAAACATTAACCACTACATTATATTAGTATTAAATACTTTCAATTAAGAAACAATTCTTATTAGAAAATAAATATGAATCGTTTTATTTTAAATATTCCAATGTATATTTTTTGTTAATGCAGATAGTGCGGATTTAACGTATTTTATAACCGTTACATGGGGAAAATAAATTTAAGGCAGATTGTTAATAACAATTTTTACACAATTTACGATTGCAATCAATTTCTTTCAAAACTATAATCTAAATGATTGCAAGTTGTATTTTTTACGATCAAAACAGATTCCAAAATTAGGTATATTATGCAAATGCAATCCAATTTGATTTGAGTTATTCAGTTTTAGATACATTTATATTTCTGTGTTCGTATGGAATAGTAGGTTATGTCGGGAAGCTGGCTTTAGTATAATCCGGCATTCCCTTTATTATTTACAACAGAAGGAATTTTTTGATGACCCTTAACAAGAATATGGACGTGCTAGTATCGGAACTATTTCTTGCACGTTTATTTATCCAAAATTTCGTCAACGGCTCGGCGCCAGTGAGGGTATGCTGCGAATGCCGCATTATACTAAAACCAGCCTTTTGGCATAAGCTTCTATTCCATATGAGTGGGGCACGTGCGAAATGCGGATTTTCCCAGTTGCAATACTGCAGTAACTCGACACCTTCCTCACCAACCGCTCTGTCCTCTATGAGCTTCTTAATGTGCCTGCAAATAAAAGATGGAAATTTAAGAAAAAATACTATCACAGCGTTTCACTCTTGTAGTATATTGGCTATCAAGCACCAGAAAATTTCCATCACGCATTCCATATGCCACCGATTGTCGTGGATCAATTAAAATACTGTCATCACAGCTTTTTGGTACTCCAGCAACTGGTGTGTCTATGGCGGAGTTATGTGGAGCTGTTGCATGACTAAAATCAATTTGGGCTCTTTGAGAACTGGCTTGTTTGTTGCGAGCTATTGGCATCAAAAGTATGCAAATTAGATTTCCAAACGAGCAACTGTTGAATACAGGAAAAAATTTATATTATATGGTTCCGCTAAAGTGCACTACTACCGTGTATAAATTGGCCGACCGTCTAATAAATCAAGCAATCTTATTGTATCGTCATCGCCGCCAGTCACCAAGAAATTTCCACTTGGGTGAATGCAACATCATTCTCCGGCGACGAATGCACTGTATTAGCTCGCCTTCAGCTATGTCAAATATCTTAAAGCGGTTACAACTTAATGCTAAAGCCACCAGATTACCGTCTGGATGCCATGCCAGCTGTCGTCCCATACCTCTTCCCTAGGTGAACGTTCGCACACATTCGCCTGAAAATGTATCGCAAATTCTTAACTTGTCATCGCCGCACGATGAAATTAACTTACCATTAGGGCTGAATTTTTCTGCGCGCACCCATTTGTGTGTCCAGTGAAAGATGTGTAATTTGAATGAGTATTTTGATGGCTGTTCGCCATTTATCTAGTCTGCAAACGAATAAGCTGGCGAAGAAGCAAACAAATTCAAGCACATTGTTGCATTCTACCGTACTTTTTAAAAGCTTTAAAATCTTAAAACATATGTGAAAAACTTTTATAATCTGAATATTTCTAATGTCGCAATCAAAACCAAATTATATAAATAGCATTTTTAAAAAGCAATCATCTAATATTTTTCAAGTTTTTGGACATATATGTTACCATTTGAACAACAAATACTACCAAGTTTTAAGAGACTATTTAATGCAACTCAGGTCAAAAAAGCGCAGTTTAAAATAAGCAACTCTAAAAAACAGATGATCGCAGCTGTGGCCCAGGGTGACGTCTATTGCTAAGATATCTCACTTGTATTTGTACACAATGGTCTCGTTACTCGCATGCTCCGTATATGCACCATCAACGTGAACCAATACAACACAACATCCCTACAAGAATTGTGTGATGGAAACTAACACATTCTCATTTACCTTACTAACACATTTACAAACTTTGCGTTGGTTAAAAAGAGACAACTAAATAATGCCATAAGTCGGAGGAAGACGGAACACAAATGTTTACATCAGATTTTTCACACTGCCCTTTAGAATTTGATAGAAACTTGTAGGCAACCAGTGACAGAAATCTCTATCAGTCTTGCCACTCAAATGATTTGTCAAATGATAGTCACTGTTCTTGTAGGGATATTTTGCGGTAACGAAACTGTTTTTCGTATCGATACTAAAGTCTGCTGCCTGTATATGTACGTACATGCATGCATGATTCCTGTGAGGTACAGGAGTCACATTTGACGCCCACGAAGGCATCAGTGAGGCACTTAAAGATAAACAAACGCAAGTGCCGCCTAAAGAAGATGATAATAAAATAAGCATTTGGCCGTTGCCATAATCCAATGGCAAAATTAGAGAATATTGATTTCTATAAACAAAAATCAAAAGCTGCAAATATTATACTATGATGAGTAGCAGTATTATATTTGCCAAGCATTAATGTTTACACAGTTGCATCCGCAATAGATGCATTGATCTAATTTCATCATTACTGAGCTCCAAGCTTTATTTACATATGTTTACAAAGCTGCATCCGCAATAGATGCATCGATCTAATTTCATCATTACTGAGCTCCAAGCTTTATTTATGTTTACAAAGCTGCAATAGATGCGTCGATCTAATTTCATTACTGAATTCCAAGCTTTATATATGCTTGCCTACATATCTACATTCGCGATGGATGCATTGATTCAGTTTCTGAATCTTTGTAGCATATTCCCGCTTTCCCGCTGACCTTGCTGACTCCTTGGAATTTGAGTATATAAAGTTGATGTTTAAAAGTTTAAGTTGAGTTGTATTCTGATTACTTAAAGACACGGTTCTATTATTTAAGTTTAATTTAACACTTAAAATTCGTTTAATAAAGATACAGATTTTATAAAGGACTTAAACAAAGTTCCAACATATAATTGGCGCAGCATACGGTAGGATATTGAATAAAAAACAATATCCAGCGATCGAACCAACGAAACCAGGGAAGAAACAAAAATAATAAATTTCATCGAACAATATTTAAAACAAAATTCCACAAAGTGTAACTGCACCCATCGCTACAGTGTTATTGAAAAAAAGGCGTGAGTACTAGGTACTCATGAAATTTGATGTGTAAACATATGCGAACGGCAAAGCATAAAAGTACATTTACATATAAATATAATCTCAATCAAAGCTCGTTAGCTGTCAAATTTGTTGTGCTTGTTATTCACACAACTCGAGGAATAGTTAAACTTCTTCTCTGTGCCACCGTGGTCACTTTTTTCTGCAACACATATTATGCCAATTAAATATATTTTAACTGAATATTTTATTAAAAATACCTTTACAAACCTATTTTCCTTACAAGCGTCAATTTTTGTTTACTTTAACATTTAACATTCCACCTCTTCTTCGCAAGTTTAATCGATAAAACTAGGTTGGACACCAAAAAGTTATCGGTTTAATCTGAGATATTTTTAATTATAATTTTGCATGGCTAATCTCTTTTTCTAATAACAGATTAGGGAGTTAAGCTCGAAAATTTGGATAATCTCTTTATATGTAAAGCTATTATTAGGCGATTCAGTTACATACATACAAATGGAGGTTAGGTTAGAAATTAAACATTAAAATATCTTGGAAACCCGCATCAGTTATTGTTTTTGAGCTTATAGTTTGAGCATTTCTATTTGTATATATTCCTAAATTTAGTATTTCTTTTCGGAATATAATCTGTGGTTCATGTAAATGAGAGCGATTTTCGGGAGAGTTGTGTAGAGATTGAAGTTGCAGGATTTTACCCGATGCTTTTTTGTTCGGTACGTTTTGCTGTTACTCACTTTTTACTCTCACTTCAGAGAGTGATTTTCGCTGTTTGACCTTTTCCAGGACTTTACACGAAAAGTATTGGATCAGAGCTATTATATCATCCATATATATGCATATTATACATACATATATTCATGTATGTTCATCAGTTATCAACGGTCCCAGTTAAAATGATTTCAGTATTTTTTTAAATTTTCGCCTTGCTTTTTTATCAAAATAGACTACTAAGCCTATGCCTAAAACCCCCTACGAATATCAAAACCAGCGCATGAATCACGTATGACGACAATCGTCTGAACGATATCGTGTCGAGATTGTCTTGCTTCATAAAAATCAAAAATTGTTTGATGCGTTTGTGCGATATCGTCAACTCGATTCCAGTTTTGCTTTACGTAACAGTAACAGTAACACTTAACAGCAACACAAATGCATAAATCAG